GAATAGGATTGTGGAGATTAAGATTATCTTCGCTATTGTCCTGCTACTTTATGACCTAATTAACACCAAGTCACTCCTTCCTGTGTTCTCAGACAGCATTTACAACTTAGAGGAAAACCTCCACACTTTGAAGTTTAAGAGTTTAGGCTGGAAAATTCAGATTTTTCTTATTTTTTTTCTACAAAGCTGTTGTTTTGGAAACAGTGTTTTCCCAGGATGCAAATTTGATCCCAAATGATGTTTGGTTGGTTTTTGAGTGAAAATAACACGTCGTCTACAGGGAACAAGGTTAAATATGGCATGTTCTGCACATTTTACAGCACAGTTTCTATTAACATACTGGAAAAAATAAAACATACTATTTAAAGTGCGTCATAACTTTTGCACACAGGCCACAATTTTTCCCCCAGTATGTTAAAATCAGCAAATAAACAGCGATTGTGTATTAAAACGTGCAGAGGTGTGTTAAGAAAATCAACAGAACATGTTAGATGACCAGGAGTGCCCACGCTTTTACATATGACTGTATACAGAGGTCTGGAAATGACAGGCTAAAGAGCATCGATCTAGATCAAAACAGGAGTGTCAGTTCTGTTCCCTTTGTAGGTTTAATGTGGTGATTTCTATGTATTTCTAGAATGTTCCTGATGGAACCGGAAACTGGTCACCAAAATTCCAATTCCAGTTATTCTGGAACAGCTCTGGAATTCCAGCCAAGAACATTCCAGTAGATGATCGTGGTGGTTTAGCTGATACCTCAGGGACGCTGGTTATCTGGCATCAGGGCAGGGCTGGCAGTTAGTGCTCCCTCACTCTGGGACTGCTCTGGGACGGGGCTGGGGGTGGGGCGGGGGCGTTTGCGTGCAGCGTCCTGATTACTGCCCACGAATAGCACACGCTCTGATGGGTGGCGATAGCATTGTTGAGTAAACACTGTGATCTCACTGATGGCACTGGAAACACTCGGGCCAGTCAGGGACTTCTCATGGAAAACACTGCACTGGACACCTCACAGGCCTGAGAATGAGAGAAAGAACAACGTTTATCTGTTCTAAGATTTGTATTTTGGGATCTTATGATTTCATCAGATTAAATTTTGAATCCATCAAACTCTGAAGGGTCCGTAGGGGTAAGGGTCCGTAGGGGTAAGGGTCCATACGCTTCAATTCTCAATTCACGCCTAGTTTCATAGTGGTTACTGAATAATTTGTAGGAGTTACTGAATAACATATGAACGTGTAAACAGTTTAAGGGGAGAAGTTATCAGAAATCAGAAGTTTGAAGCAGGGTTGCCCAAAGTGAGGGCAGTATGAGTTGGCCCACCAGAAAGTTACCCAACCCCCACCCCCTCACTGTTACAATGACAGAACAGACACATTTTTAACATCATAATTTCTTGTTTTACTTCTAAAACCGCTTTTTATAGTATTAATGTAACATATAACTATAGCATAATGTTGTGAATTACAGTTTTAAGAAGATCTGAAACCTGCCTAGCTTCTTCATTTGTGTATTGTTTTGACTTTTTGGCCCTCGGACCACCACAGAACACTCCACTTTGGCCCCCCAAGACAATATGCTTAGGTACCCAAGTTTAAAGTAACCAAACATGCTAGCATGGCTAACAAATGGAAGCTAGTAGCCACTAACTAGCATTCTTCCTCTGGTATAACACCAGTCGGGGGCTCTTTCAACCATTTTTTGCATTTCGCTGCTGTCAGAAGAAAACCTCGTATCTCCAAAATGGTAACTTTACAGTAGAAGGAAAAAACCTACTTTACTTTTAATGTAAGTCAATGGAACCAGAATTTTTTCCAAGTAATTCTGGGCCATTTCTTTTAGTCCATTCATCATGAAATTTACACACAATGTAAAGGACAACAGGCATTTTCAAACTATATTAAAAACTGAAAAACAACAAAAATGGAGATACAAGGTTTTCTTCCGACAGCAGCAATTTTATTTTTTGACCGATTTATTCTAAACTACAGCTGTATGCAAAAATTTGTTAAATCACATTTTGTTAATTTTCTTAGTGAAAATAAGTGAACACACCCTCAACCGAGAACACAACATTTTCTGCTAATTTTAGTACACCATTTCTATCTATTTGCTGATTTTAATGTATTAGTAAAAATATAAATACAGTATAGAATGTGCCATAACTTCTGTACAGGCCACGTTATTTTTTTTACAATATTAAGTATAATGTACACTAAAAATTGCAGAAGCATGTAAAGGATGTGTTAACTTACACTTAGAAAAATCAACAAAATAAATAACTGATCTATTTCAGATGTAATCATAATATGGTGTCAACATCCACCGACTCAACCAGATAAAGAAATATTCCTTTACTTAAATGTATTTTAACACATTCAGCATTTACACAGTCTGATCTGATCAGGCTCAGAATACTAAAACCCCAGAACCCGAACGCTCTCAATCGCTCAAAAACGACCACAGTGATCCGAAATAAGTTAACTACAAAACCACTTTATTGAAAAAGCAGATTATATCATCTACGGTTAAATGATACGTCCCAACTTTTAATACATTAAATAACTTTAAACTTTTCATGTTTAGATAAATAAATCTACTTTCCTTTTTTTATTCATGAAATATCTAGGAAATCAGAACATTGAACGATACAAAAAAAAGTGATACAACAGAAGGCGAGATGTGCTTTCTGAGAACTAAATGAGAAACAAAGCTACAGCTCACTGTCATTTCCAATAGAAGCAGAAAATAATAATTAAAAAAGGCTAACATTGCTTATTTACAGGGACTCTATCTGTGTTCTATGAAATAGTAGTACATTTTAAAAGCGTATTAAGACATCGTGGAGAGGGAGTAAATAGCACTTCTTTCAGTCGTTACATTTCGGCCTGTCAGGGAATGATTCGAGAAGAGTTCAATGTGCATTTTTTTTTAAACGACCTCAAAAATACACCATCATTCTGGAGCATCTTTAACAAGGGCCGGCTGGTAATACGTTTTCCACGTGGAAGAGAATGGGCAGGTGAACTGTGCTGTACATCACAGTCAGTGTCTGTTATAAACGATGATGATGGAGCGAGGATGCAGTCAGGATTGGCTAAAGCACGCTTCAACATTTCCTCCGTTTCTGAACGCTCATCAGCTCAGTAGTATGACAGCAGGACCCATAATTGGGTAGAGAGGTGAGAGGAGGCGTGTTGCGCCGTTAGTGGCTGTCGTGGCTCCAGGGTTGCCCACAGCACTCAAACCAAAGCAAGAAGGCACTGAGTGGTCCTGCCACTAATGCAGGTGGAAACGCTTGCTACATACACGTACAGTCGTATACACAAGTTTGAACACCCCTGGTCAAATGACACGCTTTGCTGATTTTCTAAGCAATGATGCTTAGATGGACCAGTGATGGCTGTGAGAGCCGGCAGGAAGGCGGTGCCCGAACTCTAAGCCCAGACGAAACCCTGCAAAGACAGTGGGGAGAGGATAAAGTCTGCGAATTCAGGCACCACCTTCCTGCCGGCTCTCATCGGGGCCCAGGGGACGGGCGCATGTCACACACATCCACTACAGAGAACACACTTAAATTTAGCATTTTACTGAACAATTTCTGTTTACTTGCTGCGTGGACAAAATGGACAACCCCGACAAAATTAACTTTTGCACAGGCCATGTTAGGCCCCCCTCGCAGAAAATGACCAGTTAAATTTGGCAAATAAACAGTAATTGTGCATTAAAATGTGTGCTTTCTGAAAATGATGTTATCTTATTGTCACTTAAAAAAAAATCGACTAAACATAATTTCACCAGGGGTGCGCAAACTTTTGCACAGGACTATACCAAGCCTATAGAGATTAGAAACATTGAACAAGGAATGAAAACAAAAGCTGAAAACCAACAGTATTTTTCACAGAACGAAACAGAAACAAAATCACTGTCAACCTCCAGAGTGAAACCTTCATTTAAAAACGTAGTTCACTGATTAACGTTATGATTTCATTCCAGAGAAACGTTTCTGAAAAAATGCAACCCTGACACGATTTGTTGTTACTGATATTTTAACCCAATACAGAAGTGAGCTGTTTCAATAATCTGCTCTTTTCCGTTAACAATGCGATTTCTCAATGCTGTCACTGCATTTTTTTAACGTTAAGACGTGATCTAACAAAGCTGAAAAATGGTTTTATTTTAATTACCTATGAACAGGAATATACTTTCAACTACTAATTTTACTCAGATAAAACACAACAACACTAAGTGTTTCCACAGAAATTCTGAAGGTGTGCACCCGCTCAGAAACCATCACGGTGCATCCGACAACGAAGGCCGCATTATGATTAAAAATTTGATTTGGTATTTGAAAACCCAGAAACTAGCTGGCAAAAACAGTTCAAAAACAGGACTGAAATACAATCACAATGCAACACTAATGCACTGTACGTAACTAATATTGCTCTTTCAGAGACATGCGTCTAATGCAAGTAAAGCCATTTCTTACTGTCAGTAACTGTGACTTTACAATATTAAAAGAAACTACATTACTGTAATCATTACTTTATATGATGCCCACAGCACTGACTCCAATTTCACATACTGATCTGTTTCACGATCACGAACGTGGACACGTACACTCACCAACTACTCGGGCGCAGGTTTTAATAAATAAAGGGGATACCGACAAACGCCTCTCAATGTAAGGCAGACGTGACATTAGACTTCATTAGACTTCATATACGCCTTACGAGGAGAAAACTATTCACCATTCTTTTTCTTTCCATTTCATTTCATTTACCAAGACGGACGCAGAACGCTGGAGCAGGACGAAAATAAACATAACTAAAACATACAACTAGTTTCTGTTTCTAATACCTCTTTCCAGGAAAATGACCTGAAAAGAAATAACAACACTTAACAGAAAAACATTTTAAAATAGCTTTTTCACTGTTTTGTTCCTGTTTTTCCAAGTTCTGTGAAAAATACTGATGCAATTGTATTTATATTCATTTTCAATTTTTTTTTTTTTTTTTTCTCTGTGCTGTTTCTAAGTCCCGTAAACCAATGTGGGTCAAGGGTAGGTAGTCTCTGTGGAGCTCAGGTGAGTCCAGCACCTTCCAGCATCAACAAAAGACCCCTCCCTCATTCAAACACACTCGGACCAATGAAAAAAAGCAAAAACCCCAAACAGCAGAACAGCTCTCCTCTCTGCTCTGCATCTGAGGCGTAACGGCTCCACGCCTCTGCAGTGCGGCCTCCCAGACAAGCCAGTGTCGGGAAACAGTCCAATCCAACAACACACTCGTCTTAGACGCATAGAGGCACTAAGACATGTCAACGCCGACGTCAGAACACGAATACGCCCATGTTTAAACTTACACTGACCGACCTCGGTCAGCAAACATGATAACAGAAAAATAGGGAGCAAATCCTCTACATTCATCTGTAGAAAACGTCTGTGAAATACAGAGCTGGGTAAGAAAAATGACAGCAATGTGCAGCTAACTCTTCTGGTGATCATGTTAAGACAGTACGTGTGTTTGTGAGTTAGTCTCCCTCAAGTGTGCTGTTCTAGCAACTTAAGGAACGTGTACCAACATTTTGTTTCAGCAAAACAGTGGCTGCCTGCCTGGCACACAAACGCGAGGTGTGTACATGGTGAGGAACTGCATCTCTCACCGATATCACAACACACACACACATAAAAAGCACACAAACACACAGTAATGGTGCAACTTGAAGGCAATGAGTGAAATAATTAAGTGCGAGATTCTGAGTGAAAGGCCACTTCCAAGGCTTTAAATGTCACATATCTCTCTTTATTCCGTTCTCTCTCTCTTAGAACGAAGCTGTGTGGTGGTTTGTCCTGCAGTCATGTTGCTCAGTGGACTGGTTAGCTGAGTGGCGGCGGAAATCGTCAGACATGTGGCCAGTAGTCATGCTTGTGGAACGACCAATAGTTTGGCTGTGGGTGGTCAGTATTGGCCCTGCGCTGGGTCTACACTGCTCCCACACTGGAAATGCATTGGCTTCACATTGGTCCTGCACTGGCCCCATTACGGCCCTGCATTGGCCCGTAGTGGCCCTGCATTGACCACATGCTGGCCTCGCACTGGCACCATGCTGGTCCTGAACTGGCACCATGTTGGACATGCTCTGGCCCCATTGTTGTCCTGCATTAGCTCCACATCCTGCACTGGCTCCATGCTGGCCCTGCATTGGCCTCACGTTGGCCCTGATTTGGTCCTATACTGGCTGGTTTTCACTGGCCCAAACTGGCCCCTCCACGGGCCCCATGCTGGCCTCACAATAGTCCCACTTCCGTCCCACGTACACTGTTCTCTGGGACCAGTCTGGGAATGTCAAAGGTCAAATCTGTGACATCAGTCCAGGCTAGGCTTCAGGGCTGCCGCTGCAGGATTCATACTGGACAGAAAAAACAATGGGGTGTGGAGAATGGAGGGATACAGATGGAGAAAGCGCACAGTAACCCGCGGAGAGAGAGCAGTTCACGACTTTCTTTTACATTCACTTGCTTCAGAGAAGGTGGTGGATGCTTGCAGCAGCAATGCAGCCGCTTAAGGAGGAGAGAAAGTGTTGTCCCTTATCGACACACACTCGCATCGTGGTGTGTTTACAGCTCAGTGACGTGGAGCGGGTAGCCGGGCGGTGGCTGGGCAGGGCCAGGTGTTTTTAACCTGTGCAGATGGCAGGTGTGGCACAGCAGGTGACCATCCAACGGGTAACAGCGGTGGCCCTCTTCGTCGGTTAGCTGCAGACCACAGTCCTGAAAGAGAGACCACACAATTGCACACAGCTCAGCTGTTGTCATAGTGATGGAATGAAAGCTAAAATTAAATGAATGTACTAATAACATTATAGTGGGTGGAGGAATAATAGATATTTTACAAGAACAGAAATTTCAATAAGTCTTTGGAAGTAGGAAATAGCACAGAGGAACTTTCGTCTGAACACCGTCAAATTTACAGCAGAAAATAAGTGATTATCACACATAAGCAGTTAGAAAATATCCTGTTTAACACTGGAATCTGAGGAATTGTTTTCTGAAGCTGAAATGCGTCACGCGGTTGCTGAGATTAAACACAATTCAAAGTTTAACAGAGAGTGTGAACAGTGGGATCTGCTGGTAAATGATTTACAGCAGCAGTCAGAGTGTGTTCATCTCTGCCCTACATACACACAGTCCACACAACACCCCACAGCCTTTCTTTTCTGAGCGCAGGTAAAGTCTACTCCTACAGACTTCAAATCAAGTTCAGCAGAGGAACGCCATTCCCCATGTAACACAGTCCAAATCCAGTTTTAACTCCTCACAGCCCAGGTTTATTATTCATTTATCATTCTTGAGAGACTTTCATTCAGCAACCATCGTAAATTATTGACTACCATGTATGTGCGTAAGCTGTGTAGTTATGAAACTGAGGAACTGAACTGTGGATCCACACACAGGCCCTGGACAGGGCAATGGTGAAACACACATCCTGTCTTCTTACCTCACAGTGATAACACTCCACATGGTAGTCTTTGTCCATGGACACAACACGTATGGTCTCCTCTGAGCCCTGGAAATACACATACACTCAGTATCTGAACAGACTGTGATGCAGAACAAAGTGTGAAGTCAGAGCAAGTGTAGAGAGCTTTTACCTCAGCTGGGAGGATGGGTTGGCTACAGGAGGCACATTTTGGGGCAAAGACACTGTAGAGTGAGCAGAAAAAGAATTAAAGCCTTAACATCTGAAGTTAACATCTATGCAGTTTCATAGCCATCAATTTTCATAAGGATTTCACCACCTGTGTCAACCAACACCTGTAAATATTCACATTGCTAAAGATGGTCTTCATTGGAGGCACCGAACAGGTCTATAATTCACTTCATACCTAATGGCAGACTAGAAATAAAAGGAATAGTTTGGCGAAAAATTTCCACAATTCTCCCCTAACCTCAGACGTAACCGATCACCTGAGACATGTTTGGAGTCCAAATTTTGCTTCTTTAGTTTAGTGCTGGAGCTATGCGGCTAACATTGCAAACAAACACTGGGATTTAATAGACACCCAAACTTTTTCTGTGACTGCATCACCGAAAGGTCTTTAAACCCACTCAAACCTAATCCAGGCAATTCATTGCGGTGGCACAGACTAACTGTGAGCTATAAAAACGAACTAAACTTCACAGTGTAGCTAAAAGCAGCAGGTAGAAATGTTAGACAGCAGGTGTTGTGCCGAATCCTGACTCAATATCAGCCTGAATGAAGATCTGGATGCACTTTGAGTGGGGATGCAACGTTAGCATCATAGCTCCTCATAGCTCAGACATGTCTTTGACTAACTACATCTAGGGAAAGTGGAAATTTTTCATTTTTTCACCAAACCATCCCTTCAACACCTGTAGGTTACTCTTTAACACTACAGATACACTATATGGTTGTTTTTAATATGAACAGAAATGGTTTAACAAATAAACAATTAACCACTCTATAAGCCAGGAAAGAAAACATTAGGCTGAATGAGTAACTGAAAGTGGCGTTATCCAAAATCTCAGTGCCTTTGGCCTAGACATTATTGTAGCATTTGTGCTTGGTAGTATTTAATTGATTGGTAGTGTTTAACAAGGGTGTGATATTTAAAGCTCATGTCTGATAGTCTTTGAACCACTTACGTGTGATAGTCTTTAACACAGTAGATGTTGTTCTCCATGTCGACGGTGAACGGAACTCCATCCAGTCCCTCTTTACACACCACACAGCGGAAACAGCCTGGATGATAGGATTTCCCCAGAGCCTGGAGGATCTACATACATACATAAAAATCAAACAATTAGATACAAACACAAAAGCAGGAGGTCGGCTAAAAAGGACATCGCGCCCTGGCGTTCAAACACTTTCCTCATTTCAACAGAATTGTTCTCTAAATTCATCAAAGATTGCTTTAGAGAGCAAAAACAGAAGCCAGCACCTAAATAACTGATTCAAATACAGCTAGGTCAGAAAACAGTGTCACTGCACGTGTGTGAGTGAAGTTCTGTGTCTGTTCTGTGGCTCTGCTGAAATGTGGGTGTTAATTTGGCTGTTGATATTTAAAACACGAGTGAACATGATCTCTCTTACCATCTCCATGATGAGATGTCCACACACAAAGCATTTCTCTGCTGTCTGCTGGAACCCAGAGTACTGCAGAAGACACAAACATACATACACACATACTTCAGTCAGTACTGACCTCACAGCACATCCACACAAAGCATTAATGCTTTAAAGGCATAGGGAAAGCAGGGCCCAAACTAATGCAGGGTAAAATGTAACGTATATTTTATGTAGTTAAACAGAGGCATTCATTGAATCGTTCTCGTATTCCCACAGTGACATCATCTGTAATTTCTGACATCAGAACATCAAAAATCATGGGACTCTAGCTGGTTGTTATGCTAATTATGTTTACATTAATGCCCTGTGACCATGTCCTTTGTAAATGTATGGATACTGTATACAACTCTCTGTAAAAAACTTCAGTGGGAATTTGCCACAACACCCCCTAACAGTTAATGAGCAATGATCAACCGACTGAACAAGTAAATAAGTTCCAAACAGTGATGTTGAGCTAACCTCCAATCTGTCTCAGTCTCTAGGGGGCGCTGCTGCTCTCTACAGGGCACACTACAGAAAGAGGTTTAAAGGAATAGGTCAGTCAATAACACTAATGTTCCTAATAATAAAATCGAATGGCTTCTGATCAGCAGTATTTCAAAGTAATATTGCTGATTGATGACCACTAGCTTCCATTCATCATATGGTTCAACTATTAATTTAATTGCTTAGAGGCAGGTGGAACAGAAATGGAGGCTTAGAATATGTGCTGTTCTCAAGCTCTCCTGGACATAAAAGGTATTCCACATGCACAGGAACCGAAGGTAAATCTGAGACCAGCTCTAGCCTCTATCTTATAACGAACAAGATGAGGATTTCAGTAGGGAGACCTGCTCCTACGCTAAAAAGGAACCTCAGAAATGTGCAGTGCCACTAGATTATTACATATGTGCACTTCCTGCTCCGGTGTCAGGTAGTTGCTTAGTCCAAGTACTCAGTCAGAAGTTAATCAAACACAGGTTGCCCATCAAAATCAGTACATATGCAATGATACAATCAGGCCACTTGCTTTTGCAGTGTGCTCACTGTAAAGAGCGACCAACCCCTAAAAACACACACACATACTCCCCATATTCATTTGTTGTCCGTCTGTAATTCGCACAGACACTGAGCTGACAGGTTGCAGGTGCCTTAAAGAAGAAAATGACCTCAGGGTGGCCATCTGCCTGCCATCTCAGGGGTAGCTGCAGTGGCATGGTGGTGCAGGGCTTTGACTCCGTTAGGAGGTCACAGCTGGGGGTGTTTTAAAACTCAACTTCTTTAATCCTGATATTGTGCTGTTTCAATTTAAACAAAGCCAATTATGGCATGATAATTATTATGATGTTATGAATATTCCTTCACTTGAACTCTTCATTGTGTGAACAATGTTCTATAAAGACTGCCAAGTCAAATGTTTATGACATTTCTTCTAAAAATATAATATATAATAATAATAAAATATATTATGACATCATCTTAATTCTAATAATGGAGAATGTCCACCGTTTGAACTCCATTGATCTTCAGGTTCCATAAAGTCTATTATGACATCCCTTTATTGATCACATTCTATTCTCCCCCTCGTTTCGCAAACAGAGGAAAGGCCGTCTGTAGGTGGGGGTCGAGGATAGCAGGTGGGGTTTGAAAAAAAGCTGGTCAATACCAGGAACCCCCCCCCCAAACACCCTTCCCTCAAATCCGGCAGACCATCTGTCAGACCCCCAGTGTCAGGGGCAGGGGTGTCCTCCTCGGTAATCAATTCAACAAGGAGGAGGCAGGGGACATAAACACCTACCATATGACCAAGACATATGACTAAAGGATATCTCAACATAAGAACGAATGGGAGTCGCATTCACAAAAGAAATCTTTAGAGGAGAATACAGATTTAGCCATTAATTTTAATGGCTGATTAGTTAAAGTTGTCACAGAAAAAAAGAAAATATGTCACAATTAGCTAGAAAAAAACATGAACATCCCACTTTTACACCAGAGAGAGGGACGGAGCTGTGTTATCACAAAAAAACTCAAAATAAACGATACTGGACATGGGAGACTCTGCCCATGTCTGCCCAATATATACACATATTGAGTGTCACTGAGTTTATCTGCTGAGAATGGCTCTCATCCCACTCTTTCTCCAATGTCAGAGACAGGGGGGAGTAATTGTGGTCCGTGGGGAGGCGTGGGGAAATGGGACTAAATTGTGCAAGGGGGCGGAGTTCTGTTCTAGTCGGTCACAACATCTGTTCTCCCCTGAGGGTTGAAAGAATGTGCAAAATGTACTTTATTCCCCTATCTGACCATCCATCTATCCATCCATCTATCCGTGCCTTTATCTGTCTACCCTTCCAGCTCTCAATCTCTGAGTCCATTATACTTCTTATCTGCGCACATACTCTTCCTGTCTGTCCATCATCGCGTCTGAAATTATGTTGTTAATTAATAATAAATGTGGTAACAAGCAGTTATATGGATGCACTCAAATCAAAGAAATCTGCTTCAAAGCAGCATTACAGTTATTCATTTTTCAATTCTAATCTCCCAGACACTTCAAACCGCTCCCCGTTTCATTTTTTAGAGTAGCCTTTCATCTGTTCACTGACTCATCCATCCCTATGGGATCAACCTATCCATCTATCCAGACAGGAATTTTAGATGAAAAGATCTATAGTGGTCGTATATAAACGTTCACACATCAGCTCGATGAGCTCTGTTGTGTTCTGCAGCGGCAAATTGGCTTTAAACTCACCAGGAAGTCCTCTTCACAGTAGACTTTTCCGTTCACATTGTAGAACGCTTTCCCTCTCAGTCTCCTCCCTGAAAAACACAAAACACTGTATAAGGCAAAGGCATAAAACAAACCTCACAATATCAACCACAGTCCTCAGAGTCAGCCGGAAAGTGCCAGCCTGCGTCAACCCAGGTGTAACAGACATGATTCAGCTAATTAAAGTCTTGCTGCAGGACAAGTTACGTCTTGATCGGATGTGGCAGGTGTGTTACTCTCTGGTAGGCACTAAAGCTTCAACCCACACCTGCCCCTCGCACAAAAAGATTAGGTTACCTGGGAAATAATCGCTGCCATGTGATGGCTATCTACAGTATCTCCATTACTGTTGTATATTTTGCATGCATTTTTCAACAAGAGTATAGTTTTGAGTTGGTTTTATGAGTGGAAATGGTGTGAAGCAGGAAGGCTGTGCTTCTTTTTCTTCCAAAACGTCTCGTGGGAATCAACTGTCTCCATATCCACATCTGAGTCAATCTTCAGCTCCGATCCTGAAGTCAGCTTTGGCGCTGCAAACTTTCATTTACCAGAAAATCACACACTGGAACCAATTTCATGTTTTCTTGGCACAAACATACCTGACTCAGCTCACAGAGGGCTTGGCAATTGCCTGACGAGTTGAATCAGGTGTGTATGTGTTTAGGCAGAAGAACAAAAACCACTAAACTGTGCAGAAGCCTTCAGGACTGCAGCTGCAACTCTGATCTACAGCAGAATGATTGACAGCACCTTTGTTTCCATGCCAATGATGGAAGATAAAGTGGAGAGAGAGATGCATCCTTAATTCATAAAATCCTAAACGAAGATACAGCGCATTTGGCATGAGGGTATTATCCCTGAGATTAAAAGACATAAATTGGTAACATGAGTCAGAATAAGAAACCGCAGAGTATTAATTAAGTAATTAAAAGGCATGTCACCAGTACATAAATCAACTGAGCCGATCACAAACAGCTGTGCTAATGCAGTGAAGGCTACATGCTTGTTGGCACAGCTGAAGAGCAATGTATAAAAACAAATGTGTGTGGTTTCATAAGGTCAGGATGTGGGGTCACATATGGCACATATTTATTATGCAGCACTATTTGACTACTGTACAGTCAAAGCACGAAACGCAACTAAGTATAACATATTTTTTCATTATTCATGAGGCAGCTACACATCCTTTCAGACCCACAGCGCTGAGTCGTCTTCTCACAGTGGAAGGATGGACAGAAACACCTGTGGATGTTTTCAGATCTGATCAGCTTGATTTTCTCCTCTCTCTCAGAGATGAAAGCTTTAAGTGCTGTTTATCTGATGGGGACAGTTTTTTGTGTCTACCAGGTCTTCCAGGTGGTTGTTAGGATAACTATTTTTTCTGTAATGGCTCATGAAAAAATGATTAACTTTGGCGGGGTTGACTGGGAATCAAATAAATGACGGACGTAAGTAAGTATTGATAAATCATGAGAATTTTCTAAGACTAATCCTAAACCTAACCCTAATCTGAACCTCACCAACCAGAAAGAAACTCTTTTGCCCTTTCAGTTTAAAAAGCAAACCCGAAAATGGGCTTTTGTGTGAAGCAGTCAGGAAAACTGTGAGGATTCTGAAAGTGCATGAACACAAACACAGATCATTTTCCTGTAGAGGATGTGTTCCTTTCTTTTCACTTAGAAAATCAACAAAACATTTAATTTGACCGGGGGGTCTGTAACAGGTCTGATGAAAACAATAAACTTTTAAAGTATTAATAAAACACACGTACAGGCTTGTTTGTTTATTTGTTTACCAGGTAGCTAGAGCTTGTGTTGTTAGTATTTATGATTGTAGGAAAAAAGGTTTTGTTCGTTCACACTTCTATGAGAAATATGTAAGTTTTGGTTGACTCTACATGTGATTCTGGGTAACTATGGTCATTTTCACAGTGTTTGAATGCATATACTCTTTTATTTTTTTATAATCCTTTATATTGTTAATTTTTGTGAAGAATAGAGTTTATATTTTCATCTTTTTTATATTTTTGATATTATATATTTTGTCTATAAAGTAACAAGTAACAAACTGTAAAAACCTTGTTAAGTGCTTAACAAGGTCAGTTACTTTCTTGTTAATTCTCTTCTTGTTACTTCGTTTCTTGAGTGTCTCGCTCTCTCTTTGCTGCTGTAACACTGAGAACTTCCCCATTGTAGGACTTATAAAGCATTATCTTACCATCTCTTATCACAACGCACGAAATATATAATTTAATGTCAGTACAATGTAACAGAACTCAGTTCCCAAGTAAAAATTTTTCAGCGCCTGCTGTGCTGCCCTCTAACAAAATAAGCCTACAAAAATCACAGCCCCTAGATTTTTAATTGATTTATAAAAACAGTCTTTTTCGCTGGGTGTATGAATAAGCTCCTCCCCTTCCTTGCCCACTTTACTCTGATAGGACGCCCACAGATGCCTAGTTTTGATCAATGACAGTGGTTTCCACGAAAGAAAATAAACGAGAGACCCTCGGAGGAGACTGACAGGCATATCAGCAAGAGTTTTGCATTTTGATAAATTGTTTGAAGTTACATTTTTTTTATATATAATAATGTTATACTCTTAGCATAGAGCATTCACATGAGTCCCTACACACACACACACACACACACAACTTATAAGGCCTTTGTATCTGTCCCTGTTCGTCCGTATACACACACACACGCACACACACACACACAAGCACACAGAGAAGTCCATAAATCAGTCTGACTGCTCTGCTTTTAACTGTCCCACTGAGCTGTGTTTCGGTTCCTAGGGTCTGTGGGATAGACCCATCAAGTCTCTTTTACACCCCAAAATTTATGCCCTCGTCCCATTCAAACAGAGTCCCAAAGAACACTGACACATACACACCACCCAGACGCTAGTTTAGTAACAGAGGCCTCTCCTGCAGCGCCAAAGAATCCTGATTGGAGCTTTAAGTGCCAAATTTAGCACCACGCCACATAATAAAGCCCTGCTCACACACCTGCAGCGGAAGCAAGGTTGATAAACAGGGTGTGAAAACAGTTTTGCATGTTCTAAAAGGTGATGAGAGCTATGAAGTGCAAAGGTATGCAGCACACAAGATCAAAGATATCACGGCTGTCCTAAGAAAACCTTCACTCCTCGAACTCTGTCAGTAACTTTTTATGAGAAGCAATAAAACCCTATCGAATCAATTCATCAACATTTCTGCATAATTCAATCACTGAGATGCAAACAAAGTCATTCAGGGTGGTTTGATGTGAAATGGTTCATTGTAGAGAACAGGAACCACCTTGTCTACAACACAAATATAGCCTTTTACTTAATATCAAAATGCCTCAGTGAACCCACCTGCATCTTCTGAGTTTTAACGTTGGAGATGGTAAAACAGCAGAAAATCTCAAATTTGGGATCATTTTTCACGCTGCATAAATATTTTAGCATAGAACTATCAGAAAAAATGACTCTGACATCAGTCAGCGTATTCATAACCACTTAATGTAATAAATCTCTGTGAGGGAGCTTTTAGACGCATTAACCTCTTCAGATGTCTGGTTCCTATCACCACCACTGTGAACCATTCTGAAGGACTTTGTTTACATCTTAGCCATTTAATAATGCACACATTTTCAAAAGGGGAATAAATCTGCCGCCGGAGGAGTTGCAGCACCCATAGGTTCATGCCAGCCTCAGTGAAAGGCATCCTGCGCTTTGTGTGCTACTGTGCCTGTATCACCGTATAAGAGATGAACAAGGCTTCCTCTATTGCTGGATGCGCTGTGATTTTTTTCGAGCGAGTGCAGAAGCTCGTTCAGATGCTACTTTACACACTGAAGAACGATTCCACAGTGAGGCACATACAGGGTTTAAACTGAAGAGGAAAAAAGATTTTAGACCATTTTGATTGGTCCACGTATCATAAGATGTTCACAAAATGAGCCACGAGTTACACAGTTTTGAAATGACAGCAAACAATATGGCTGTAAATCCTAAAATGCCATAGATTAATGTGACACCGGGGCAATGGAGGCGATGTGCCTTTGAAATAGATAACAAGCTGCAGGATGGCTGGCTGGTAGACACCATGTAACATTTACCGGGTGGGGCTAAGAGTGAGTGAAGACAAGAAGACAGAGAGAGAGAGAGAGAGAGACAGAAAGAGAGACAGAGAGTGAGTGAGTAAATGGGGACATTCTTTCAGCCTGAGGTCACTGGCTGGTCCCATTCACCCACCTCCATTCCCCCACCCCACGGAGAGCAAGAGGGAGAGAGGAGGGAGGCAGAAAGAGAGAGAGAGAGAGAGAGAGTGTGTGTGAGCAAGGGGGATGGTAAGACCTGATTCTCCTGCGACTCCCTTCAGCTTTTGTCAGAGGCTCCGGCCATGCAGTCTCCCCCGTAACTCTCTATTCTCCTCTCCACTCCTCTGTCCGCTCATCCTCTCTCCTCCTCTCTCACCTCCTTAAGCTCTTTGTGGGGCAATGTCTGTTTCCCATGTAGCTGAGGACTAAATGTATTTGAAGCCCTATTGGAGCTGGACAGGACGTTCAGTGCTGTGATCTGTGGGACTGACAGGTTGATTGGGTCGGGATAAAGTATCTTTGCAATTTCCACAAATAGTGACAAACAGCCCAAAGGCTCAAAGCTGTTCACATCACCGTTAAGCCACAGGACACACTCACTAACAATAACAGTACGCAGCATGGCCATGGTTTTATTATTCCAGTAGCACGATTAATCTGGATTAAAATCACTCCACAATTATTACAGTCAGACTGTAAAACTACACACACTGCAGATTCATACTGGATTAAAATCGCTCCACAATTATTACTGTAAAACTACACACACTGCAGATTCATACTGGATTAAAATCGCTCCACAATTATTACTGTAAAACTACACACTGCAGATTCATACTGGATTAAAATCGCTCCACAATTATTACTGTAAAACTACACACACTGCAGATTCATACTGGATTAAAATCGCTCCACATTTATTACTGTAAAACTACACACACTGCAGATTCATACTAGATTAA